AATCAGCGGCATTACACTAACAACTTGGTAGTTAACAACCTGTGCTGGAGCACCCCAAGCTTCTTGAACTCTTGAGTTAGGCTAGCGGATACACCTACTCCTGAGCTAGGCTCGCGGATACGCCTTGGAACGTTTGTCTACCATAGGTTTTCGCCTGTTGTACAAATTTACACGCTATAACCTTTCTGCATCCTCTGTTTTGCCCATGAAGTGCATCTATGCCATATAAACCGGAGGCTTATCCCAAACAAATGCATCAAAACACAAAGATAATTTGTGGGCAAGGCAGTCAAACACCTGTATAGTTAAATGCATGGTAAATATATACACGTCTTTTGGTAGACTTGATCCATGGGACTCAATGATCTTGTTGCCCAATAAGTATTTACTTCACAACTGTGATATGGGGTGACATTAGTCATGCAAGATATTTTTGGAATCAATGATGGAATCAGAACATTTATTTTGACGTTGGCAACTTCGTATCTTTATATAATTTCTTCATGTATTATGGAAGAATGAACATTCTTAATCACAAAAAAAAAAATGCAAAGATATCCAAAAAAGCGCAAAGTATGTGTCCCTATATAAGCATCAAGAAAGGTATATTTATAAATGTTTGATGCTTCAAAGCTATTTAATAAAACAATAAACAATAGAACGTAATCGAATAATCAAGTAACAATTTATATAATTTAATGCACATTCTACAAATTTAAAAATAAATTTATGGATTTATTTGTAAAGTAGCAGTAGAATTTAAGATTATAATCATAAACTATAAAATGTTTCTAGGTGAGTTAATGATTTTCTAACTCTGGGAGGAGTCGAAAATCTAAAATCTAAAAATTTCTCACTTATACTCTCTCCCTCTACCATCCAATCCATCCCTGCCCGAGTTGAACACAACCTTGAAAAAGCTTTGAACCGCAAAATAACTCTCCTCCTATTTTTTGTTCTTTTCCTCTAATTCATGTAGCCGCCACTTCTATTTTTCTCATTGCCCCTATCTTGTCTTCTTCTTCTTCTCCTGCTCTGTGCCGCTCTTCCCAGTTGGACTAGTTGGACCTGCCAGTTCTATCTGAATTTAATCTCAGATATTAAGTAGCTTAAGCTCAAAAGTGTAGGTATACAAAGGTATGACAAAGCCTAAAGTTTATATAGATGAAAGCAAACAAACCTCCAAGTTTAGCATGTTTGGTACGAACTGAAACAGTTTTGCCAACCCTTGCAAACATATTAAAGTTCTATAGATATTGATAATAAAAACTAAATATTGATATTGTTGTCCAAAAGGCAGTATAAATAATCATCGTCATAGCTTCTGTTTTAGGTTGTAGCGACCCAAAACATAGCCAACTATGACCATTTTCAATACCTTCCTGTCCCCGGCAGAATAAGAAACAACCTATATATGGTGCGACGGATAATTAGTTAGTTCAAAGTCTCTCAAACTCTTGAGTTAGGCTCGCAGATTTTCCTTGGAACGCTCGTTCACAATAGGGTTTTGACTGTTGTACAAACTTGCAAGGTATAATGAAACCTTTTTGCATCCTCCACTTCATCAGTGAAGTGGAGGTATGCTTTAAAAACCGAATAAAAATGCATCAAAACACAAGCAGAATTGGTGGCCAAAATAGCCAAACAATTCCATCGATCACCAACTTAATTATATAGTTAATTAATACTCCCTCTGTCCCATTGAAACTGTCATGCTTTCCATTTTGGTCTGTCCCAAAATATTTGTCACATACCTAAAATGGCAAATGAATTTTTCTCCTTCTTCTAATTTTACCCTTCCGACACTACCTTTAAATATGTGGGTCCAGCATAAATTGTCAAAAGAACAAGACACGCTTTGAAGTGCGTGGCTGATGCTAGCCAATGTTTACTAGCGCGCGTGCAGTGCAAAATAAGCAAAAAGTTAGTGTAGCTTTAATAATGTAGTGGGCCCAAAGTGTTGACTAGTTTGCATAAACCATTTGAATAACTTCATCCGCACCACTATAGTCAAAATTTGGACAGCTTGGCGGGAATAATTTAGGAATTACAGACAACTATCTCTTATTCTTGTCTACTATTGAAAAATATTTCAATTCCCGAAAAGACAAACTTTTCGGGACGGAAGGAGTATATACTTTGACGGAATCAGTGATCTTACTATCGCACAAGTACTTACAACACAATTGTGATATCAGGTGGAATAAACCATGGAAGACATCGCTGGTATAAATGAAGGAACCAGATTATCAATTTTGAGCAGGCGAACGGCATTACTTTGTAAGCCTTGGAATCATACATTATAGTTTCTTGATTTAGAAAAATATCAGTTGCTTCATCTACTATGAAAGAAAATTCATCTCATTAAAAAAATATATATATATATATATGACGGAGGTCATCTCTGTCTATAACGGGTACTTCTAGTTAATATGATAGATGAGTTTTGCCACTTGTTTTTATGCTTATGTTGAAATTCTCTTTCTCACAAAATTCCTTCCAATCCAACATTTTATTCCTCCAAGGAAATTAAGGAAATATACTTTAATAAAACTATATTCCATAAATAAAACATGAATATTGGTGTTACATGAAGTTACAAATACACTATATTCTTAAAAGAAAAGGCACATGTTTGTTTCTCAAGAAAATCATCTTTCATCTATGAACAAAAAAAAAATTACTTTTCCAATTCTTCTTTATTCCCAACTTCACACAAAAAATTCCCTTAGATCCTAATTAAATAAGAAATTTCATTTTATAATCTTCTCTAGCTTCGTAAAACATTGCCATACGAACTTCTACATTCCCTTTCCAAAACATTTTCCTTCCAACTCAAGATTTTATTCCTCAAAAAAATTAAGGAAATTTGGTTCAATGAAAAGTATATTTCTAACTGAAATGTTCTATGTGAGTAATACGTAAAAAGATATTCACGTTTAATAGCACAACAAAGTCATCAAATATATATCGTTACTCTTTCACTGAGTATTGCAATAGCTAAATATGTAGGCAACAGACTTTCCAAAGACTGGACAAGATCAACGCTATAAAGCGATGCTTTTTAATTTAACTTCGCAATAATTTTTATCACAAAAAATGAAAAATAATATTCATAAAAAATATTTCACTATAATTTTTCCTTATTTGTCGTTATTGATAATTCCTTTTGATGTTTAAATATATTGGCTTTTTCTTAGAAAAATATTTACATGCCACGAATTATCATAACACCTATAAAATTTATCTAGTAAAAATTAGGGACAATTTCAAAATCCTACCCTGAGGTTTTTGATAGTTTCACTTGGCACCCTCAAATTTTAAAAATTCTCATTGGCTTCCCTTATTTAATCTTTTTGTAACATTTGAAGCCTATTTCAAAATATAATATTAAAAAACTCGTTTTGGGAGAGTGAATACAATTTCATTCCTGGCTCATGTATGTTCAGAGTTACTAAGAAGATCAGAAACTGCAGAATTGAGTTACTAAAGTGGAGAAATACTTTCCAAGCCAATTCTAAAAGAAGGATTGAGGAGATTAAAAAGGAGTTGGAAGGAGTGAAAGACACAGACTCTGGTAACGGAAAAGAGAAAATAACTGAGCTCAAAGCATAGTTAAAAGTAGCCTACATAGAGGAAGAGAATTTCTGGAGTCAAAAAGCTAGAATCAACTGGCTGAGAGCAGGAGATAAGAATACAAAGTACTTCCCTGCCTATGTTAAGGGGAGAAGAACAAACAATAGGATCAGGAATTTGCAGAAGGAAAATGGCTTATGGATAGAAAATGAGGAGGATTTAGTCTCAGAAATTTCAGACTTCTTTGGAAAGTTGTTTACTAGTGGAGGAAGGAGTGATATGTCAGAGATTCTAGAGGGTATTCCCCACTCCATAACTCAAGGAATGAATGCTAAGCTAACTAAACCTATAAAAGAAAATGAAATCAAAGCAGCACTTTTCTCCATGCAGCCTAATAAAGCTCCAGGATAGGATGGCATGTCACCCCTATTCTTTCAAAGGTTCTGGAGCATTATAAAGGGAGATGTCATCCCTGCTATCCAATCCTTTTTTAGCTCTGGTCTTTTGCTTAAATCTATCAATCACACGGTCATTTCCCTCATCCCTAAAATTCTGAATCCAACTTGCTTGAAAAACTTTAGACCTATTAGCCTGTGTAGTGTGATTTCCAAAATATTGGCTAATAGACTAAAGCTTGTGGTGGGAAAATGCATTAGCAACACCCAATCTGCTTTCGTTCCCGATAGGCAGATTCTAGATAATGTGATCCTAGCCCATGAATACATGCACTACCTCAAAAATAAAATGCAAGGAAAAGAAGGATACATGGCAATCAAGCTGGACATGGCTAAAGCCTATGATAGGGTGAAGTGGCATTTTTTGCAGGCAATGATGCAGAAGATGGGATTCTGTTCAAAATAGATCAATGGGATTACTAGTTGCATGAAGACTGTCACTTACTCTTTCAACTGCAATGGAGAAACTAAAGGTTTTGTTACACCAGGGAGGGAATAAGGCAGGGAGACCCCTTGTCTCCCTACTTTTTCTTAATCTGTTCAGAAGGTTTCTCTAACATATTGAGAAAAGCAGAAGCAAGGGACGAGATAAAGGGGCTGAGGATCAGTAGGCAAGGAACTATCCTCACTCATCTTTTCTTTGCAGATGATTCTCTCATTTTTTCCAAAGCCAGCATGCAACAAGCCAAGGAAATTATGAAGATCCTCAAAACATATGAAGAGGCTTCAGGACAGCTGATCAATCTTGATAAATTAGTTGTATTTTTTTAGTAAAATATGCCCTTGGAACAAAGGAAAGAAGTGTGCAGTGCTTTGGGTGGAATGGCAGAAATGACACAAGGGAAATATTTAGGCCTACCAATGGTGATAACTAGAAAAAGGATCAAATATTGGATTCATTAGAGAAACACAAGAAGAAAGCTTAAGGACTGGAAAAACAAGCTACTCAGTACAACAGGTAAGGAAGTAATGCTGAAGGCAGTCTCCATGGCAATGCCTACTTATGTCATGTCCTGCTTTAAACTGCCAAGGAAGCTGTGCAAAGATATTACTGCATCTATGGCAAATTACTGGTGGGGAGAAACGGATGGCAAAAGCAAAATGCATTGGCTGTCCTGGAAAAAAATGGCACTGAAAAGAACTGAAGGTGGGTTGGGATTCGAGGATATAGAAGCTTTTAACAAGACTTTGTTAGGAAAGCAGATTTGGAGGATACTAACCAAGCCAAGCTTACTTATCAGCAAAGTGCTGAGAGCTAAGTACTTCCTAAAGGATTCCATATTCAAGTGTAAGCCTCAAAAGAATGCCTCTTGGATTTGCCCAGGTCTACTAGGAGCCAGAAGCTTAATTGAAAAAGGTGTGATCAGAAGGATTGGTAATGGGAGAAGTACAAACATTTGGGAGCATAAATGGATTCCAGGATCAACCTCTGGTAAGCCTACTTCCACAAGACCCCTCAACAGTACCTTGAAGATGGTGCACGAGCTTATCAGTCATAAAAGATGGGATAGAAACACCATATTTAGAACCTTCAATCACAGTGATGCAGAGAGGATATTGAACATCCCCTTAAGTTTGACAGGTAGGGAGGACAGTTACTTCTGGCAACACAATATGGGAGAATCCTATTCTGTCAGTTCAGGATACAAACTTCTGATGGAAGATAGTGCTAGTACAAAGAAGGAAAAAACAGGTGAAGCTGGTACAAGTATAATGGAAGGAAGCCAACAGATCAAGTAGATGTGGAACACTCTCTGGAAGCTCAACATAAAACACGAAATCAAACTTTTCATATGACAGTGCATTAAAGATGCATTGCCAATTAGAGAAGCAATTTTCAGGAGGACAGGAATGGGAGATCCAGTATGCAGAACTTGTGGGAGAACCTGGAAATAGTGGAACATCTTCTTTTGAGCTGCCCGCTTACTTTAGAAATTTGGAAGGTGGCCCCTATACAATGGGATGGAGCTAAAGATCAACAAGGAGACTTCACGATGGTGGAGCAAAATATCAGAGGCAAGGACAAGACCAGAAGGGACACAGCATATTGGACTAACGGCTAACATTTTGTGGCAAGTGTGGAAAGAAAGAAACAGGAAGGAATTCGAAAACCAAAGTAGATGTCCACCAGTGAAGACAATTGACAAAGCTCATAAAGAGTGGCTGGAACATGAGGAGCTAGAGAAAACAAAGGACAGAAGGAGCATAGGAGAAACTGCTTTCAATCATGCAGAACAACATTAGGATCTCGAAGCTGAGGGGACCATAGTACTAGAAGTGGCTACAACAAGCCAGCAAAGACAGTTTTCACTTGGAATTGGAGCTTTAGCTACAATATATCCACACACAAGGATTGCAGAATGGGCACTCAAGGAGAGACGCTAGGAAACAAAATCCTAGATGATGCGGTAGCACTTAAACTTGTCTTAAGTAAAGCTATTGAACAGCAGTGGAACAGGATTAAAATCCTTTCCCACAACAAGGAATTACTGAGACAGTTAAGGCTTCAGAGCCCCTCAGAGAGTCGAATAGCAACACTGATTGATGACATTGCTGACATGCAGAAGATGTTTCGCATGTGCTCTTTTGAATTGGTTAGTGAAGACAATATGAAAAATTGTAAAAGATTAAGTTATTATGCCTTAGGCATTCTCTTGGATGAGGAATGGTATTTTGCTCAGTGCTATTGAGCACTAGTTGTACAGTTATTCGAGCCTTTGCTCACACATGTAATTTCCCATTATAATGAATGAAGTGATCCTATTGTTTCGAAAAAAAAAAAAAAGAATACAATTTCATTCCGAATTTACCATTTTCTTCTTATTTCTTAATTTTTATATCACACCAAATTTATCTCTTAATTTTTGTAAATTGATTGATGTAGTCTTTAATGAAAGTTTAAAAGTTGATAACAAGAATGAAAAACTCTTTAATAGTTTTTGTGTCATTAGTTCAGGCCAAAAGTGTTAAATTACTTTAAATTACGAATGATTTACCATACGCTTAAAATAACTTACAATTGTTCTGCAACAGAAGTTATTGGTTGATGGGGACTGACACATTTCCCTTTTTCAGTCAATGGAAGGGCGTGGAGGTTTACATTTTGCAATTTGGAAGAATCTATTTATTCTGGAAATCTTACATCTACAATTTGAATAACTGATGGTCTTCCTGGTCATGTAACTTGTGCTTTGAGGAACCATTTCCACCCACATTTGCTCAAAAACCATTTCGTTTTGTTAGGGCAGGAAATTATGCAAGAGAAACAGTTATCAAACTTATCATACTTAAAAACTCCACTTTTCCCTTACACACTAAATGGAATGAACATAATAATTCTGTGAATGACATCGTTGTCTATTTTCTGCTGATCCAACCCCAACAAATTTAGGAGTCAGATTTCTGCTCGTGCTGCGTCATCCTTGATTATATAATGATGCATGTTGGCAGGACTACCCAGAACCTCTGTGCTCAAGCAGTGCTATACCCTCAGAGCTCTGAGAATTTGCCAAATATCCTTCTATTAGATAATTGATTGTTCTGTGAAGGGGCATCTTTTCTACATTGAAGAAGTATGCTATGCCTACTTATGATCTCCACTCATCTAATGTAGACAGAGATCTCACCAGCAGCTAGCAAGTTATGTAGAAGGTATGCAAAAGATAAAAGCATGTCCCGTTCTAAGCTACAAAGAGTTCTCTTCAATTAAGAATCAATCCATAGAGTAATATAATGCATCTTCAGGTGCCAGAGTATTCTTTAATCAACTAAAATAATTATGTAAATTTAACTATTTGAGCTCCTCGGCTAGTTACAAAGAATTAAATGTGACGGCCTGACATTCAAGAGGAGAAAGTAAGTATGCTGAGCCTACTGCAGAGGAAGGCCCTTTAACTTGCTTCAAAAAGGAGCTATATGCAAAGATGTGGTTCAAATTAGGCCTGTCAATCGGGTCTAATGAGCCGGGTTTTCATAAGATCAAACTCAACTCATTTAATTTGAAATATTTTCAAGTTTCGGGTCATGAGTTTCGGATTCATAAATGTGAAACTCATATTCAACTCACATAATATTCGGGTTGTGACCCTCGATCAGGTTTAGTCCAAGCTCACTTATTACTCCTTAATTTTCTTAATATAATTACTATAACTATTAAGTTGTAAAACTAATTTAACATTTACAAGACTATAATATTAAAACTAAATATGAATAAATAATAGTTCTTAAAAAGTATATAAACCAAAACTTTTTCAACAATATTTATATATAATTCGTTCAAAATGCATGAAAAATAGTAATAAAACATGCGATCATAAGCCAATACATCTTCAAAAGTTGAAACTTTTTTTATAATCTTGTGATTTGAATCCAGACATGCTTGATGATTTGTATTTGTAGACCAAAAAGAAATCAACCAATATTATACCAACACAAAAATTCACTCAACCAATAAGAAAAATTAGAAATTCAGTTATGCATTATTAATATTGGCTTCAAGAAAGCTCATGTAAGAGTCTTTAGATGTATTTTTGTGTTATGTAATTTATATATATTTAGTATTTAGTAATAATATATTTGGATATATAATCATACATAATATCAAAATATAAATATTATATATATATATGTAATTAAAGGGTCGAGCTTATTTCGAGTTTGAGTCCAATAAGGCCCAAACTTGGTTCATACTCAATTCGGGCCTAATTTTTAGGTTCAAACTCAGAGCGGCTCACTAAAGGTCGGGCTCATCGAGCTTTTTGTCGGGCCAAATGAGCCGAGGTCGGGCTGGTCAGTTTCATTGACAGTTCTAGTTCAAATGAAAGGCTAAAGGCACCAATAGTTGTCTGTGACAACTATTCTGAATGATCTAATATTTTTTGAACAAGATATAACTTTAAGTGAATTACTTGTAAAACTTAACAATGGAGATACAATTATTATATATATGACCCACATGAACAGTAATCGAAAATCACACCTCTGTTATAAGAATGTACAAGAAATTTACATAGAGTTACAAAACGTTCAAAAAATGTTATACTATTTAGGGACGGACGATGCCCCGCTCCCTTAAATGAAATGGTTGTCAGGATTTACAATATTTACAGATGGAGACATGTAACCTAACAACTGTGTCATCTGTTCATTAGAAGAATCAAGGTTAAATGAATATGTGATTGCTATGAGAAGATTAGTCTATTATTATTTCTTCCACGTGGCATCCTATTTTTCTGAATGAAGATAAACACTATTGAAACCATGACAAGAACCTAGGAAACAATTTAACACATTCAAGAATTACGTTACTTAGCTATCAGTTATCAAGCTGACCTATGTTACAAGGACGAGGTCGCAGAATGCCACCCGCTAGCAAGCAAGAAATGTAGGCCTTACCGTCTGCCATATCCCACGAGAACAGGACCAACTATGTTTTATAGTGCTTTAATAATTCGCAAGGACAAATGGTCCTAGCAAGCCTGGAATCATGAATTATTGCAGGAGACTTTTTTGCACATGCTGATAGCAAGGGGTGAATAGAGTTGGGTCAATAGAGGTAAAAGATAAAGCTATCATAAACCCTGATCATCTCCACTGGCTTGCAAGTCCTTTTGACAGACTAGTTTCAAGAAAGAATCTACTCGTACCCTTTTCGAAGGTCACATTACTCAAACAACCCAGGGGTAAATGCCCCATCACCTAGAGATTGAGGGTCAGCTTGCTGCCATGTGGATGAAACTACAGCATGGAAGAAAAGCACATGCCCAAGAGATCATGTGGAATATCTGAGAAGATGGTAAAACTTCTAAAAGATACTAATTCCTTCAAGCAATTGAAGGAAAGAATTTCACTTTAGCTCCCACAATTGTATTTCCTCACATATTAATTATTTTCTCAGGCCCTCAGTGGAGCTAAAGGAGTTGGGTTTCATCTTCTCTCATTTCTGAGGTACCCCAAAATATTTGAATCAACTGCTCCCACCCAGTAGACAAAGTTGCCAGATTAGAACACCAAAAAATTAATAATGATAAAAAATAAGGAACAGAGGTTAACTGAGATCATACTAACTTGCATGGTTAGCAATATCAACCGATTCCAATACGCGAGAATCGGCTGAGTTGTAACCGAAACGAAAGGGACCGATGTAATACCAATCCCCGAATCGCAGATAATATCATATCCGTGGTAACTCACTTTGATTCGGCCGAGATTGACCGATTCAAATTCGTGATGTATGGTATCACCCGATATATCCGAGTCAATCGGAGCCTTCTCGGATTTTTTTTCAGATTATACCTTTTTGAATATTTTCTAACTTTAGTAATTTTTTTAAATTTTTTAAAAATTTTTATGTGCTATAATGTGCGTTAATCGATATGCCGCAATGGATGTGGAACAATCGAAACCGCGAAACAACCACAACCCGCGATGGCGAACAATGCTAACTTGTGCCTAGCTAGATAAAACAAGAAAAGGTTGGTGCTTGGTCAGCATCAAAATCAAAAGCAAAATTGGTCCCCTGGTAGTGATACTCATCAGATTGAAAACTAAAGAAAATCAAATCCATTTATACACTCCGGCCTTTTTTCTTTTGGATAAAACAGATAACGAAATCAGGTGAAGATCAGACGGCACCGTATATACCAGGAAGTAACTTCACTCATCCTTTCTTCCAAAATATTGTCCCGAGAAACTACACAGTAATATTCGTTTTAGGAATCACAAATATCTCATTGCAAAAGGAATGTGACTGAGTTGAGTCAAGCACCTCGACTCGAATTAAAAAACTAGGACTCGATCTTATACTCATCGAGCCCTATGGAGGTCAACTCGGCAATCAAGATTAATCGAACTTCGGAAATATAAATTTATATATATGTAATTTTAAACAAGGAACAAAACAGACATTTCATTCTAATAAATAAAAAATTAAAAAACATGTATATGTAAAGTACAATCAGTTTTTGAGTTTCA